CCAACTCTTGGGCTACTCTTTTACCAATGAATAGTGGGATTGACCATCACATTATAACACCCCATGGCTGAAAGGGCAAGCATGTTTGGTGTGATGGGGATTCGAACCCGCGACCCTCAGAGTGCGAGTCGAGCGCCCTAACCATCTGGCCATGCCGGGCTGTTAATGCCTGGTATGAATGATTAAGCATGGAGGGCAAAAACTGTTTTTATAAAGAAAAAAAAATTCTTTGTTTAAACAGCTAAACCTTCTTGAAATTTATAAAAAATATTCTCTTTGTGTCCTCCTTATAAAATTATAGTTAGAAAAGATAAAAGTTTTTATATAGAAATCTTCTGTTTAGCAGTGATGTAAGAAAACATAGTACAAGTCCTCTTACATCCAACACATCACGAATATTTAATAGTGTTGCTTATAGTTTACATTATTTACTTAAAAAATTTAAAAGAAAAAATTGAATGATTGAGATCCCAGTTTATTCTTTTCAAAAATGAAATAAAATGTACGTATTACATCCTCATGCTGCTTAATCTAGTTATTAGTCAATTGATTTTAGGTGAATTCAATTTTTAGCAAGTGTGGTAAATGTATTGAATAAATAATACTGTGAATGTGAGATAGCCAAATTACGTTGTAAACAAAACAGATGGGCTGGTCTAAGCTTGTTTATTTTCTCATCTGAACAGTTATTTTAAATGTTCATTTTATTGTGATTATTTAATTTTTATTTATCTAAATATCCATTCTTTATGTTGTATTTTGATGATAATTAAATTTTACAAAGGAACATTTCAACTATATTTAATTAAAAAACATCTATTAATATAAATCTTGAAAAGGAATGTGTGAAAAAGGGCAAAAAGTAATGCAGCCATGGTTATATGTCATTTCCAATAGCTAATTTTCAATTTCCCAGTTATCTAATTATATTAGACTTAAGATGTGGTTTAAGTTTTTATAATGTTTAAAATACACAGCATTATAAAACTAAATTTGAAACTATTTTACATCAACAATAAGAGCAGACACCCCTTTCATAATTCTGTTTCATGAACTTTTATGTTCACCTTCTATTTGGTAATATTTCAAATAAAATGTTGTATTCTTGCTATGTGGTAAAATTATTAAAACATTAATATTTTTTTTACAATGAATAACAATCATTTTTCATTATTAATAAATAAGCTATATTAAAGTCATATAGTGGATATTAGGCAGCACTAATGCATTGTTATTTGGGGCTTAACTACCACCTCAAAAATTATTACAAATACACATATTAATATTAATTGGCTCTGCAAGAAGACATGGGACTTGGCTCATATTTTATATATATAAAAAAAACAGAAACAATTTATGATAATGGCTCAAAGAGTCAATACTTTTCAATTATATAGTTCTACTTAATCTACTATAATATGTTATATAATAGTGAGTATGTGTGTACTAGCCTTCCAACTTCATCCCAACTTCCAGACACTTCTGGAATCTACAGTATGGACAACGTTTCCTCTGGCATTTGTCTATGTGGCACCTCCTGTCTGCTACACATGTGTATACCTTCTTGTTCTGAACAGTACGCTTGAAAAATCCTTTGCAAGATTCACACGTGAGCAGTCCGTAATGGTAGCCTGAAACATTATCTCCACATACTGGACAGAGCTCTTCTACTCCTTTTGTATCCGGCGGCTCATGGAATTTCTGGATGGATGCTGGAGTACTCAATGTGTTACTGGCCTCTGATAATACATGAAATATTGCATATAGGTTACTTGTTCAACAATTAATACACAAATATTTAGTTAAGGTTAATTGATACCTTTTATTCCTAAAAAAACAATGACAATCTCTAAGTGTTAAATATCACTTATTGTTTTTCACTTTTAAACCACAGGATATATAAACAGCATATAATATGAAAGTTCAAAACTTCTCAACAGTTCTGAAACAGATTGTCTAGGAAAGAGTACTTCTTGTGAAACATTCTAATAGTAATGAATTTAACCCATTATATATCCATTCAAGATTCAAAGAGTATTTGGAGTGAAAAGAAAAGTAAACTTTTTATTATTCTTTTCTATGCTTTTGTGGTATATGAATATTCCATGCATTTCTATTTTCTTGTAATATCACAGTATTTATTCTAAATTTACCCTTTGTTCTGTAGATGTGCAGGTTTTCACAAAACAGGTGTCCAAGAACGCTGTTAGGTTGATTTTATTCTAAACTACCTTTGTTCCTTTTTTATTGTTCTCAAAGTGGATAATACCTGTTCTGCACAGGAAAGATATTGCGCAATACAACATATTATTTTACTACCTAGCTGAATTCTTTGCTATGCTTGGCCAGGAGCACATCACATGATATGAAATATTTTCAATAGTACCTTGAAAAGTTGATCAACAGATCCCATCAATGTTGCCTGGTTGCTAAGACTATTGTCATGCATGCATGACATCACACCAGAATTTTGCATTCAACTTTTTGCAGCATGGGCCTAATTTACAAACAATGTGGAAAATCTTTCCAGCATTCTAGGCAAATTTTATACTTACGTTAGACAGGTGTGTATTTTATATGTTTATTAGTATGATCAAATGATGACGGGCTGTTATATTTTGGAAGTTAAACAATTTCTAAATCTTATATATTTGTTGTTGATTCTTAAAATGAAATGTTAAACTTTAAGACTTACATGTAGGCCCAGGGATATAAGCTGGATATATTATGTAAAAGTACTTATTAATCAGATTTGAGTAAAACTGAAAATAAAAGAAGGGGGGATAAAACAAAACAATTATTGACTGGTCATTTCAGGCAATGGGTTATTTCTTGACCTCAGGAATAAGAGTAGCCCTTTTGCCATTATAACCAGTTAATAATAGTTTATTATGTAAGAATATCAATAACAGTGTCCTTCAATGGTTGTTCTGGTGCAATCTATAGGTTGTGGCTACATCTATGTTGTAATGAAAATGACCAGTTACATGCATGCTACAAAATGTTATATTAGGTTAGTATATATAGTTTGTGAGTGAAGCAAATCAGATCAATCTGTTAGCATTTAAAGGCACAACAAATGAAGATTTGGACCAGTTCCTGAAGCAGGGGTACAGGTTGGACAATGCTTAGTTCTGAAACCAGCCTGTTTGGCCTTAGACTCCATTGAACACTTGCATCAGGAACAACTTTGGGGCTGCAAAACAGTCATTACCAAGTTTGACCCAGCAGAAAACAGCAATATACTGGGCTGAATTTCAGGTTCAGACAAGAGATACCACAGAAAGCTTTACTGCATATGCAGATGATCTGTCCCAATTTCATGGTAAAGCAGCTTCATCTCAGTGTGAGAGATCTTATCACCATTCAGTTGCTGTTACAATGCAGTACAAAGTTGTAACTTCAAACCATTTTCATGAGAGGAAGAAACAGATGCAGTGACTTTACCTCAGATAGACCACCCTACAAGGGCACCAACATCATACCAGGTGCAAACCAAGCTGAGGGTCAACCAACCACTCACATATGCCAGCATTTTAATGCAACCACACTGGTATCCAGTGTACAGACAGGGTCATCCCAGTCCTCCAATCATTTATATGCTGTAATCTGTACTGCCAATGACTCTGCCAGTATGTCATGACAGAAGCCTGTGCTTTGTCTGGGGAGCAATGGGTTACTTTGAAGTGGACTGCCTCTTACATGTAAGCAGCAAAGTAGATAAGGCTATTGGTTTTAACCAACAGAGAAACAGGTTCAGGAAATCCAAAACCAGGCAGTGAGTGCTGCAGCTGTAGCTATGGGAAACTAGAGAAGCCTGTCCAAGCCAAATCTGACCATTGACTTGAGGGAAGAGTACAATGAACAGCTTGCACCAAAAAGTGTGGTGGTTAGCCGAGCTCTCTCTGGGCTGAGTGATTCTTGGTATGTGCCTATCCAAGTACAAGGTCGAGAGATAGGATTTCAAACTGATACAGGAGCAACTATAACACTGGTCACTCTTGCAATATATTGAGCCCTCTGTGCAAAACTGTCACTTTGGCCAGTCAAGAAAGTTTTTTCTGGTGAATTGAAATAAACTATATATTAATGAAGAGGTCACTCTCCAACTATGTTTAGGAGGTTTTGCTCACAGAACAAAAGGTAGATGTTGCCAACTTCAGTTCTGGCATCAAAATTCTTGAAATTGGTGTACTGCACAATTTATCAGTTAGTTTCATCTGTACAACAGGTGAACTGATGTTCCACAGTACAGTTATCCAATTTCAGCCTAATCAAACCTAGGAACAGTGGACTGCACAAGTAAATTAGGGAGAGGAATTCACACAAGTGGGTGTCCATGATTTGCTAGGGGCAATATCTAGTTCATCGCTATGTGTAATGTAGCTATTGAGCTGATTCATGAAATAGGTTATTTCCTGTTCAGAGAGCAAGCAGCATTAATTAAGCAGTTATCTATTCAAGGAGGGTGAAATTCCAGTGTTGTTCAGCAATTATGGACAATTGGCTATCCTGCTGCACTGGAATGGTCAATGGCATAGTAAGCAAAGTGAAAGTAACCCCTACTACTGGTAATGCTAGAGTTACATTCCCTCCACCACATATGAAAGTAAATATATGGATATCAACACATATGAACTCTCTATTTAGGAATTGTGCAGACAATCTTCACCCAACACAGTGGAAGCAACTCAGTGAATTGTTGGCAGGATATGTTGATGTAATTATAAGATCAGATGGTTTTGATCAAATGAGAAGTCAACAGTTTTCTTTGGTTTATGTCCTATTACAGATAGTTTGTGGCCAACATTTCCAAGATTGTCTCAGCATTACCAGTTCTTAATAAGGCATAGACACACTTCAGATGCTGTGAGGAATGCAAGCAAGCATTCCAGTACCTAAAATGTGCTTCATTAGAAGCCCTGGTGTTGGTATATCCATGACTAAAACTGCTAGAAACAGATGCCAGTGATACTAGAATCAGAGCAATGTTATTACAGTTTCAGGATAATGTAGTACATGTAATAAAAAATGCTAGTCATGTGCCTACAGCTCCTGAATGCAAACACTATATGATAAAGAAACAACTGCTTGCACTTGTTTATTTGTAAAACACTTACATGCTTCGTATGGTGGAAAGTGTACTGTTCAAGTGTATCATGTGTCTCTCAAGTAGTTCAAGAACTTTAAAAACCCCAAATGGATTATAACATGCTGGAAACAGCATTTAAGATAGTATGATTTTACTATAAATTATCACCCAGGCCTATAAAAAAGATGGATATCTTGCCAGATGATGAAACATCATCCATTCAAGGAATATCAGGATCCTGGACATTGTGTAGGAGTTAAGACCATTTCTGTCATAACAATGACAAGCTATACTGTATGAGATTCCACTAGTGGATGGATGCCATGATTAATGCTTTGGGAACTACTGAAAGAAAAAATGAAGGACACATAATTAGTGTTGCCATGCAGCTAAGTGAAATGCATTAGCTCTGAAAGAAGAATACAGCATGAATGTATTTAACCTATAACAATTGTATAACAAGTATATGTGCTCAGGAAGGTGTGTTGTACAACAGTTAATGACAACTAAGCAGTGTTACAGCTTGTGGTCCCCAGAACTTTGAAGCATGAGTACCTCCAGACTTTGAATAACACAAAGGTGTTACATCCGCTTGTGCTAATGTTTGATGGAGGTTCTTCTGGCTACAATAAATTCAAAGCATTCAGTATTGGTATGAACACTGTACAGTGTGTGCCATCTATAGAAAAAGTTGACCTAAACAGTGTAAAACCCACACAGATTGTTGGTTTTTCCCAATAAAAAATAGTCTTGGATATCACTGGTCCACTCTCGGAGATGGAAAGAAATAACCTGTGTATACTCGTGTTCATAGACTATTTCACAAAGTGAGCCAAGGCTTATCCATTAATCAATACATCTGCACAGTTCACAGTTGATGCAATGGCAGTGCACTAGATGGTCTGGTTTGGAATACCTGGATAAATCTATACGGATGAGGGAGCTAATGGTTCTCTGACTGCATAAAGTGTTAGATTTGATGAAGACATGAATTTCACCTTATAACCCCCAGCCTAAGGTTTAGTGAAAAGGATGAACAGATTGTCAAGCACATACTTACTAAACTTATCAATCCCAACTGAACCAACTAGGATGAGCATTTACCCAAGGTTATGATAGTATACCATGCAACTGAACAGAAACACAGATTGTTTGCTGAATATACTGAGGCTCAGTCAAGAAGTCTTGCTCCATGTAGACATGATGTACAGTCCTTCACCTTGAGCAGACATTCCACAGTGTTCAGATAAATATGTGGAGTTTTTAAGGTCTGCATTAATTGACGTGCTCAGGTTTGCACATTAATAGCTAGGAAAAGCTGCTGTGCAACAGAAGAGGGGATTCAATAACACAGTGAAGGAATGACTATACTAAAGTGTAGACTTGGTGTGGCTTTGGTATGTGCCAGCAGCATAGAAGCCTCTTGACTCCAGCTGAAAAGGATCTCATCTTGTGATCCCATAAATTGGCATAAGAGCATGGCACATTTCAATCAGCTACATTTGTACATTACTGACAAGACTTTGGTGAACTGGCTTGACCAAGGCTCAGAAGAGGAGATAGTCAAGTCATATGAAGATGAAATGACTGTTTTATCCCAGTTTAATATGGAAGATTAGAAGTAAATAGCTGAGAGTATTTATCTAG